GTGCCCTAACCACCTGGCCATGCCAGGCCGGAGGTGATGAAATTGTTCTAGATGTAAATAGTTTGACTTTTTTGCTATCGTTGTTTGTAGTTTTATGGTTGTAGTCGAGTTTAATGTTATTTAACGAGAAATAGGTTTTTCATAAATTATTTGAATTTATGTTAGTAAACAGCTAGTTTTGTTCCGATCGATCAGTTGGGTTACAAATTTCTTTCTGGTTGATTTTCTGTTGATCAGTGATTAGTTTCCCGTTATTGTTGTTTTAACTTTCTTTATTCACTTTGATTTGAAACAAAAAATTTCTGGTTAAGACAAAGAGACGGTAGTCTTAATTATTTAACTTGCGAGTGAATTTTTAGGCTATACTTATTGAAACACACTGGAATAGATAGTTGAATTGCTTTAGTGACTTTAAGTGCCTAGTTTTCAATGTCTTCGAGGAAAAGTTTTGTCATGATAAGTTTAAAAGTTTTATAGAAATCCTAGGAATGATGAGTAGGTTGTGTGCCAGTATTATGGGATAACACAAACGTGGTGAGAGAAATAGCTTTAATTGTGGCAAGATTTCTTTGGCTGTTCAAATTTATTTTATTGTTAGTTTTTCTAAAATGTGGTTTCAGATTAACTTATGTTTAGCTGTTGTGGTTTCAGATGTAACATATGTTTAGCTGTTGTGGTTTCAAATGTAACTTATGTTTACCTGTTGTTCTTGGGATATTTTTAGTTTATAGTTATTAAAATTGCTTCTTTGATTTTTCTGAGTTTCCAATGCTGTTCGCTATTTAAAAACGTGTAACTTTTCCATTCAAATGAATGACGTGTTGTATAAGTTTTCATTTATGACAGATTTCCCTGAGTTCAAAGCCAGGGCTACCAGATTTCCCGATAAAGTTGTAAATATTCTTATTTTCTCGGACTTCTATGAGTTTTACTATTTTTTACACGAGTTTCTTAAACACAATTAACAGATAACAATCCGCATCTAGATAATGTAATGCACATTCTTTCTTTAAACTACTACTTTTTTAAATTCATGATAAAGTATTAAATCTGACATATTAGAAGTTAATTTTACCTAAAATCTCAAAATTTATTTGAAGCCACAAAAATTCGATAGGCCCTCTTGAGACAGTGGATAATCCCGATTTTTTATGTCTCTATTTGGCAACTTTATGCAGAAAGAAGCCTTGTGTCAATGTATTCTGTTAATAGCTTTAAAATAATAAGCTAACGCGACCTTACTTCTATTCTAACAAACTCCGAAACCAAAGGAGCAGTCATGATAAAAAAAAAGAATAAATAAAGGCAAAAATCTAGATAGTAGTAACATCTATAACCAATTTTACAAAAATTAGTTAAAGACAAAACAAACGAGAAAAACTAAAGAACCAGGATTATATCTTAATACGACTAACAGTTACGGACGTAAAAAAGGCCTTAGCTTGGAGGCCAAAACATTGTCCCAGGACAAAAAAAAAAAAAATATATATAAATGTCAGGAGATGTTCACAAAAGTTTCAACCAACAAATTTAAAACATTTTAGTAACTGAGTATTCGATAAGTTATAAACAAATCCTGGCTTCAAGGTAGGCTAAGAAATGTTGACCGTTTTTATCGACCTTGTTTTACAATACTTGCCTCTGAAAATGCTAATTTAGATCTCAACTCATCGTTTAATCTACCTTAGGTCACTGGAGTAAAAACAAGAGAATAGACTTTGGATGTATCTTTGGCTCCAATATTTGAAAACTGGAATTGTGAACATTTAATATAGGCTTTATTTCTACTCTGAATGATCACTTTATTGGGGGTAAAACGTAGTATAAAGTTGGACCACGTGTTATTGTAATAATTAGACTTGGCTCAACGTGTCTATACTTGTAAAGTTTAAAGGTGTCTTTTTTCGGTTGTAACCCCTTTGAAAAGTATGGCAGTAAGCAGTATTTCACAGATGTAGGAAACATATTACCGTATCGAGTGTGATATATAAGGCCATCCCAAAAACGATCTATCAGATTAAATTCTGGTGATGATGAAGTTGTCTGCCTATGCCAGACAACTTGCTAAACGAAAAATAAACAATAATCATAAAAAGTAAATGAACGAGTGTAAATTAAAAATAGGACCTTTAAAAGTTTAGAAGTTAAGTAGAATTAAAAGGACTGAAAGTGAATGAAGACGGGGGCCCATCGGCTCTTTGTAGCTTTCGCTATGACAGGGGGCATTGACCAAAGCCAATCTCTTTCAGAAAGATAGAAAAGGCACCACTGCCCTTTGCAGTACTGCCCACCATCCAAAAAAAGAATGACAGAACTGGAGTATGGAAATAGAGGTAACCGTTGAAAAGAAATGAGAGGCCACGACCGTAGAACGTGTCATACAGATATACCTCTCCCATGAATAATTCCATCAATCCAGAATATATGGAATATGTCTGTTCAGGTCTTTCAATACATGAAATGTTTGTAGAGCATGAAGGTCTTTTTACTCTTATCATGGCTACAGACAGAGAGAGTATAGTGTGATGACCTTTGCAACAGCTTCTGGCAGAACATGCATGGAGTGAATACATTGGCTAATCAACAAACCTTCATAAACACAGTGTAAGACTAGAGGGAAGGCAGCTAGTAATCACCACCCACCGCCAACTCTTGGGCTACTCTTTTACCAACAAATAGTGGGATTGACCGTCACATTATAATGCCCCCACGGCTGAAAGGGCGGGCATGTTTGGTGAGACGGGAATTCGAACCCGCAACCCGCAGATTGCGAGTCGAGCACCCTAACCACCTGGCCATGCCGGGCCCCTTCTGTAAGGAGATAGAAACAGGTTCATTTGATAGTTACAGAAAGTAAAAGTGGCTACTTTCACCCAAGAAGTTTAAGTTTATCTGGAGAGACTTTTGAGGTTTTGCAAGAGGTCTAACTGGCAAAATATCTTGTTGGATTAGCTGAACTTTTGGTCAAATCAAGGAATTCTGTTGCTCACCAGGAGAATGCTTGTAGAAATATAACAACAACAGACAATCATGTGCTTGAATATTTGAAACATTACTGAGGAAAACTGTATAGTAAAGCCAATTATATTAAATCTGTGACAGTATACAAAGCAAAAGAACTATTGCTGATATGAACCGCAAGTAAGGTTTGTTCTTTCTTAAGCTTTGCTTATATTGCCAGTTTTAGTTGAATGCTTAATGTATCTATTTCTATAAATTATATAAATATTATAGGGTTTACAGCCAAAACATATTTTAAACATTGAGGGCACGGAAATGACGAAACAATGGATTATAATTCTATTTATACATGAAAAGTTGTACTCGTTGCTGGATTATTCTTTGGTTTCATTTTGAAATAACTTTATTCGTGGGGAAATTGTTAATTAATCACGATGGGACTGGGAGGTTTGAATGCAGAAATGTTTTGGCAAAGAAATATTTCAGGAAATCTTGAATATTGTTTGTATGTTTGTTCTAGAGCAAAGCCACATCGGGCTATTTGCTGTGTCCACCACAGAAAATCATATCCCTGATTTTAGCATTCTAAGTCTGTAAGATTACCACTGTCCCATTGGGGGACAAATCTGTAATATAAGCTACTCAAGTCGTTTTAAATGTTGATGTTGTCTGAAGGTTTGATGACGTAAAGCCTCTCGGGCTATCTGCACCAAAACTTTGAGGTGTTAGTATTATTATTATATTTTATATTATAGAATAACAAATCATAAATGTGAAAAATAAATGTTAAGTGTATAAAATATATATACGAGATATGAAACATTTTTATATGTAAATGGAAAAAGGATAAAAAACAAATATAACTACATAGACCTGTGACTCATAAAAAACAAAAACGTGATTTGGACAGCGTATTTTTTTGCCTATGACACTGTCCAACGTCAACCACAGCATAAGGAAAAAATAAACCAAAAATGGGACCACTGCTAAGTGCCAGTGGGAAGGTATAATCAATACGTGGACACTTGTGACTTAGATAACAGTCTATTTCCTACACATTGATCAGTTATTACCTAATGAGACATAATGCTGTGTAATGAAACTGTGCCAATTGTAAAGTCTTGTAAATACACCATTCTCCCTATGAAACCTGTGGAAACCAGATAGCCAATTTCCTATAATGGGTTTATATGAAAAGGCTTATTATGCTGTTGCTCACCTCAAAATGTCTGACAACTGACTAAAACATTGCTATAATGACTGTATTAAAATCCAGATATTAATAAGACGAAATTATGATGTCGCTTATTTGGCTGCAATGCCAGCAGGCTTGTTCCATGAGATACCAACATGGTCAGGAAAACTTGATTAAGATAGGTGACAGAGATAAATGGATTAATCTTGCATGAATATTTATGAGATCTTGGTGAGATATAAAGTTAAGCGATTCCATGATCTTCAAAGATTTAAGCAAATCAATATAGATTGTACAATTCATGTACCACTTAGCTTCTATTTAATTGTAAACCAATTGAGAATCCATTGAACTCAGCAGTGAACACAATGTAGCTGCAATAATCTATAATAATGGCCACAAAGTCACCTGGTTTTGAAACATATATAAAAGATGGGAATGAAAGGATAACTCAAAAGTGTTCGTTAAAGAAAAGTTGGTACTTTCTGTCAGGAGTTTCCAACTTTTTCAGGCAACTCAAAGAAGATCACACGTGGGGATGGTATAAAGTCAAGATGGGATGGGCTGACATATTCACCAATATTATCTAATGTCAGATCCATCTCAGTCTATACTGCCTGGATTCGAAGGCCAAGTTGGGATAGCAGACCATCTATGCGAAAAAAAAACATAACCCAAAAAATGTATAAAGACGCACTGCCAAGAAGGATGCTTGTGGTAAGGATTGTAACTTTGCAGCATACAGAAAGAAAATTGCAAACAGAATGTGGGTTGAAGGTTCTTAGAACTTTGTACTCAAACTCTGGACTGGGGAAGCTTGGAAAGCTTTGAACAGAACCAAATCCTAATATGATGCATAGAATCCAAAATGTTCAATGTAGAATCCCTGATGGTAAAGTAAATCTGATATTGCATAGAATCCAAAATCGTTAGTGCAAAGCCTCTGGTATTGTTGTAAACCTGATGATGCATAGAATCCAAAATCTACAATATAGAATCCCTGATGGTAAAGTAAATCTGTTATTGCATAGAATCCAAAATCGTTAGTGCAAAGTTCTTGGTGGAGAAGCCAATCGGAGACACATAGTCTGGTTTACAATAAGAAAGGGTATGATAGACACCCAACGTAGAACATGTATCTGCCCCCCAAGAGGTGAAAGAGAAGATGTTCGATACTTTCGTACTCTTAACCCTAGATAAAAAGGTTTACTTGATTGATGTCTGACATTGAATAAGGTGGTACATGTTAATTAGGTGTTTATGGAAATGATATTGGATATCAGAGAGGAAATTTTGCATAGTCAAAATAATAGTTTTATAATTAGATGAAATTTTTGGATAACAATACCTCCATGCCATAAACTGTGAAACTCTTACTACTGCCGAATTTGGTGAAAAAGAACAAGAGGTAAGAAATTGTACAGCATCTCATGATTCGACTGTTATTTCTATAGAATGACAAGAATAGATTATCAGTACCCTCTTTTTGGATAAATTGCTTTCAGTTGAAGGTATTATTGTAAAAAATGCTTTTGTTAATTTTTACTAAACCTTAGTTTTCTCTGTTAGGACCCTTACCTTGTAAGATATGTTGTCTTGAACTAGGCCTATAACCATCCTTAATATCGTGTGGACAACTGCAGATGTACATCCGGTTGTGGCTAGAAATGTATCATCGTCTATAAATGTTTGCCCGTACGTCTAAAAATAAAATCATATAATTTGTTAGATTAATCACATATAAAGTATAGCAATATTAACTGTCTGAATTACATGTTCTTTTTTATGATATGTATTAAGTAAAACTGAAACCAACTTTCTATTTATTATATCATTCAACGTGGCCAGAATTGGACAAAAGCAGATGTTAAAACAAATTAGCTGATTGTATATGAATTTCCAGGAGGAGACGATAAGAGCTAATGGTAAGCAATTCCAAGGAATTGGTTAAATCTGTGAAGTTAATATAGTAACAGTATCGATTAGCTTCGATATGATCTACGGTAACTGACACTGAACACAGAAGTCTAATATGGGATTCTATAAATAATGACAGAGTTGCAACGTCAGAACCCACAAAGTCACCTGATATTGAGCCAACAGTAAATTCTGCTACATAAGATAAGTTAAAGGTGTTTCATAAACAGAACTTGGTCAATTATATTTCAAATTCCTTTCGGTAATGGTAATGTAATGTTTACCGAACTTAATCATATGTTGCAAAATTTTATTTTATTTTTCTATTAAGTAAGACTTCAATATATATATATATATTAGACACGTATTTATTATACAGACTGAGCTGTCTTTTTTTAAGTTCATGAAAAAGTATATCTTTAAGCATAACTATCAGCTTTTTTAATAACTATGGAGGAGCTTAATGTTTTAATATTGACTATCTTTGTTGATATCATGTAGGCAAAGTATTAAGTATTTTAGAAATAATATTTTATAGATATCAGAGAAATTGTACAATTGTAAACATTATCTCAGAGATGGTGCGTTTTCTATTGCAAAACTACAGGGGATGATACTTCTGTGTATTACACTTTCATAATCAACTGCTCAGTTTCTGTGAGTTCTATTTCTGACAATTTCAAATTTTCTTAAAACGTAAAATAAGAAAATAAGTTTAAGCAAAACCTACCGATATTAATATAAACGTTACCTTATAAAAAACGTTCACAAACATTGTTGAATGCAACGAGCTAATAAATGTTATTATCAAGAAATAAAATTCTTTCATCTTCAAAGCTTCTTTTGGTGTAACAGAGGTTTCTCTGGCAAGGGATGTCTGTGTTTCTTCTACTTCCATATTCGTTGAACTTCCTTCTGATGTCACAGAATAGTCTTCTTGAAATACTAACATACAAGCCTTGTATTCAGGATCCGATTCGCTTTTTAGTGATGCAGAAAAGTTTTTAGCTTCTATCTGAACTACACTGGTTTGTCTGTCTATCTGTTTTTTTTAAAACAATATTATCTATTAACTTCAACAAAAACTAATATTTAGTTTTATGTCGTACATAAGTATTCTCTAAAAGTACTGGTGCTTAACTTAATACCCTAGAAATACCGACCGGCATTAAACTTTAATTGTTTGAGAACCACTATTACTTGCAGCTTTGCATAATTCCAAATTTCTAAGGTAAATTTATCTTCTATAAACTATCTTTAATTTCAAACACCAAAGAACAAAAAATTTTATATAATGTCTGCAGTCATATGAAGTTTGACCTATAAGTTTTGCATCTGTTCTAAACTTAACATATTGATGATTAGGTTTTGTATCCGTAACTTTTTTTTGATATATTATTAGAGTTAATGTTTTCATGACAGTTTTCTCTTCTATAAAGATGTTATATTAGTTATTGACGATATATGTTTGTTTTTTGTTAAAGTAAGATAATACCTATCTTTTGCTTTTACCAAAATGGAGATTGGTACCTAGGGGTACAAACCGATCTTGTCCTCATTCACGTCAAAAAAACTAACTTGTTATTCAACAACGTGAACAAATAGGTATCCTCATTCAACATGAGCAACATTACACATCCTCATCCAAATAATATAGACTACAAATTCACTCACAAATTAAAATGAAGTAGGTATATTTGAATAATTTTTTCTTATCTTTGACGTGACTTCTAGCAAGGAAGTGCAAAGGACAGTTTGTTTGTTGTTAAGCCCAAAGCTACACAATGAGCTATCTATGCACTGCCCACTGCGGGTATCGAACCCTGGTTCTTAGCATAATAAACCTTCACACTTACTGCTAAGCCACCGAAAAACTAGTGTGAAACAAAACCCCTTAAAATACTTAAATTTGTGTTATTGGAACTTATATGCTTATTGTTGTATTTTGTCGGTAATTTATTGCTACGACTTTTACTTTTAATATTAATTTCATAGAAAATAATGTACAAAATGCTTTTCAAACGTTTACAGACTTGAAGTTTCTTTAGTAATAAATTTAATTTCATCTTAAAAATGTGATTCTTTGTACTGAATCTCTGTCGTAAGTGAACACTAATTTTTTAGGTGTTTTGTAAGGTAAAGTAAAGATAAAATTAAGGAAACTACATAAACTGCTTAGCTGAGGAAACTACATAAACTGCTTAGCTGTGTGTTATGCAGACGTGCCATACGTTTTCTACCTCCTTAATTGATATGTATAATTTTTAAAATATGTTTGCGTATGGAGTATATTTATCTCCTAATAGAGAAAGTCAGTCGATGAAGCAGCTACTTTTATATCACCCTACTTACACACAGAACTGAATCACTTAACTAGGGTGTCACACGAACTTTCTAGCAGGAAAGATAGCAGTAACATAGCATATCTCGTACCAGACTAGACGATAATGTTTTCTGCAACTCGGGTGACATCTTGAAGACATAAAGCCCTTGTGTTGAAGCAAGAGCAATCGCCAGTTACGTGGGTGACGTCTATGCCCTTAGCGAGCTAGCTTTATTGTTATCCGTATAATGTCATGCTTTTTCATATTATAATCTTAGAGAACAATTCAACTACTTAGCCACTTTCAGCTTAGGCAAAATTCGAGAATAGAAGTCACAACTTTTTTCAACTCTATTAAAACTAAGTCTGGGTAATTATTCAAGCTCCTTATAGAAGTGGGTGAAATGAAGTTTAGGGCAGCATATACAGTGAGAAAGGTGAATGTGTAATTGATAAATACATAAGACGAAAGTAAATCTTGGAATATACATATTGCTTAAAGGGTTTTGCAACGTATGACTTATGGGACAATTGAAGTATTCTGATGTAACACTGGTAGAAAGTTGGGGTGAAAAAAAGTTTACACCCATGTTCACATTTTTTTTACTTACGGAGTGTACGTTGAAAACTTTAACAACTCTTTCCTGGCGCTCATAAGAAACTACCTCCTCTGGGATACAGAGAAGATAAGATTTGGTAAATATTCTCCTAGGGGAGCTTAAGAAGTTTAATAGATAACCTCTATGGAAATTCTCCTCGAATCCTTGAAAGCTAAAAGAAGCTCAGTTATCCTTAGTTTCAGATGTATGAACAAATAAATCCATGTTTTTAACGGTTGGTAAACCATTGAGATATTTTAAACATTTTTACACTGATATTTATATTATATGACTATACAAAACTAATGGAGTTGAGTCTTTGGTTCAGAACCTCTTCAAAATTGAATTAAAGTTTTTGAAGTCATGGTTTTAATAAGAACTGACGAAGCTTCAAAGCCTACTGACCCCACCTATCATAAAGTTCAATAAAGGAAGGTCACATTGACGCCAATTTATGACAGGCACTATAAGCAAATACCAGTTATTGTAGAAATCCAATCAATGTGAACAGGAAACAATAACAAGTATTAATTAGCAAGAAAATACTGAGGGGCCACCTATCTACAGAAATACAAAGTAGTGTTGGTGGTTGGTAAGATTAAAATAGAGACAAACTCACCGTGAAGAGAAATCCATATCAATTAAAACGTCTCAATTTCTCAGCATTATAAAACCCATTTCGAGAAACATCAATAACAACTGTTCAGACTTTAGATATACATTAGCAGTAGATTAACATTTAGCATAGCTTTCTTACCTCCGATATCTCTGAGGGAGGTACTTGGTACAGAAGTAGTCCAATAAGAAGAATACCCCCTTGTACAGCTCCTAGTATCAGAAACAAAGTAGGGACACGATCCAATATTTCAGAGTCGTGGAAATACCTGAAAAACAATGTATATAATACTTAGTTAATCAATTTGTTTAAGTTATAAGCTATAAAATAAAACCAAAAGGGTCACATGTATCGTATGATCAGACAGTTCTATATAAATAAAGTAATTGTATCGTCTCTCTTGTTTATGGTTAGTTAATCATGCATTGTAATGTTTTTCGAGTCTTTCTTATGTGCGCATAAGACAACTAACAAAAATTTTAAAGTTAAAATGTAGTATAATACAAATACAATGTATTACATTTGTTTCGGAAAACAATAAAAAGTGTGAAAGAAAAAGGATAAAAGTTGAAATAGATTTAAACATGTTTATGATTCGTGAAAAGTTAACCCCTCCCCATCAGTGTGGGTAGTGTCTTGAACAGCAATTTTATTAATGAACATTAACGGTACATCATGATTTACAATACGTCTAAAATGGTGCTCAACATCATAACGGCTTCATGAAAATGACAAATGTTATTTAAATGTCACAGAGCTGTCAGATCACTCCCTTGAAACTGAAAATGATGAGTAGTAGAACTGTGGTCAATAGAAATGGCTATTTTCCAATATTATGTTTTAACTGGAAAATATTGTTGTCTTATAGCACATCATGAATAACCTGTAAACTGTCCAGCATGACAGCTGATAATCGTTATCAGGAACGGGAAAAGCATTTAAATTACTGGTGGAGGCTGATAAGGCTACGGTAACAGCATGCCTGTTCCCTCGAATTCCAGAAAAAAAATTCGATGGAGATGGATAATATTGATAAAAGGGGCTAGGATTTACTGAATATCCAAGAGCAATTGATAACATTGAGTAATTCCAGAAGCTTTAAATAGTTAAGCAAGTTTTTATAAATGTTACAGTTAGTGTGCTGTTTAGATTGTATAATATAGAGCAAGTGAGATTACATACAATTCAACAGTAAACACAAAATCTACAGATAGATTCCAGTGAGAAACAACAGAGCTGCAACAAAGGTTAATGGAAATAAAGATAAAAATGCATTTTTAAAGGGAGTAGTAGTTCCAGTTGATGATGCACAGGGTTCAATAACTTCAGTCACTTTTTTATGTGGAACCATAGATAATAGAATTGTATAACTTGAAAAGTTTTTTTTGGTTTACAAAACTTGAAGATAACTTTTATATGCGAAAACATCTGTTAGTTGAGTTCTTGCACAGATCTTAAAATACTGTCTGCCCACGTTGAAAATAACTAAAAGAAGGTGGAGAAAGATGAGAGAAGAATCATTGTATATTATAATTGATGCAATCCAGTTTAACTTATATACTGCCACACAAGTTAGAGCAAATTTAAGTTCCAGAGTAAACAAGCGTTATAGTCATAGTTATAGTCAAAGAAAAACATGAAGTTCTTTTGTCTCGTGTTTTGATGACCCAAGAAAACAAGAAAAAGAGGTGGATGAGCTGGAGTGAAAGGATGAAAATACGATGAAAACGTATCATAGTTTTAGGAATAATTGTGCAATAACATTAGTTACTGCTTTCAAGTAATCATTAACAGATGACAGGATAATGATGGCAGGATCAAACCACAAGAATGTGTGATAAAGGACCAATTGTCCTTCTCAAGTTTACACTGTAGCCACACGTCAAGTTTCATCTAACATAGTCAACCTTCCTAATAGTGATGGGAAAATGATCACAACTGCCTCCTGAATCATTGTTCGTCATCCAGATAAAAAAGAAAAGTTAGAGAATGAAGAAGTGGACCGATCAATAACAGAAAATATATGATTCATGGTATGGAAATAGGTATATTCGCCTCCATTCAAGTTGTGATCCAGCAAAAATAGTTTTCATGGATTGATCCCTTTCAGTAATATCTCCATCACCTCAGAATGGATTTTATCCATTTAATTCTCTTAAGGTGAGTGTAATATATTTAATAAGATCAGCAAGGTCTGCTTAAGCTATTTCTTCTTGTTGTTTAAAAAGAACATGATGTGAGGTTACAGCCAATGAAATTACAGATGATAATGTTCTCCAAAGGTGTTATAAATTGTATGTTAATGAAGAGAATATGCTATTCAGCCAGCAATAATACTCCTCTATGACCCCGTCTCTCTTATTAATGATATATGGTGATTGAATAAGCACATTCAAGAAATTTCTCTCCTAAAGACATGCACACTGGATGTTAAGAATTGACCAAGACCTTATGGTCTTTTATATTAGTGTGTAGACACCAACAATGCATTTGTATAACTATGAGTATTTTTCGTCAAGGACTTTAAATATATATATGTGGGGGGAGCCTTTCTAGTTTAGGTTTATGAACATTACTGGTTGAACCATCCATTAAACAACCTGTTTTTGTTTTTGTTTATAATGAATACTATTGAATGGCAAGTCTTCTGTGAGGAGATGCACAGGATGTTAACAATTTATAAAAGCCCTTATGTTATCTAAATTAGCACGAGAACTTCAACAGGTCCATTGTATCATTGTTGCTACTTTTATCTTGAATCATGGGTAACCCAATAAATGGACACCTTAGATGGTTTATCTTTTTTGATTTGTTATTTATATGTTAGTTAATCTCCCTGGCCTCTGAAAAGTATAGGCAACATAAGACAGTCTTACATTTTGAAGATGAATAGTTTATACCCAATTGCTCTGAAGCCTCGGACATAGGCCGAGAAAAAGTATTAGCTGTTGATTTCTCCTTTTGATAGCCTACAGAGACATTAGAACTTGAATTTAAAAGGACAAAGACTTTGATGATGGCATAGAAATATCAGTATTTACCCATCTGAAGAAGTAGAATAGATTAATGAGGTGTGACTTTTATTTTAGGTTATTACCAACTTCTGAGTCTGAGGATATGATCCTGAGATAATAAACCTCTTTTTCTTTCTTTCATTTAGAGAATGATTGAGAATATGAAGGAAATTTGAACCATCAGTTTACAAACCAAGGCACAAAAGTAGATATACAATTGTCATAGTCTTTACTGCCACACTAATCACAAGCAAAGCAACCATGACAAGATGCCTTGAAATAATTTAGAAAAACAGTTGCAAAATTAAAGGGAATTGGAAATATGTGGCCAAGTACTAAAATTTAGATAACCTGCATTCATATCAGCATGGAGTTTGCGAGTAGAAAAGTTGAAAACAGGAAGTTTGGTTTATTTATATATCTCAATTTTATGGAATAAATATCCATCAAATAGCTTTCGTGGTTGACTTTAAATAGTATGTCTAGTTATACTTCATAGAGAAAAACACAATTTTGCTTAATTCTGATAAGATCTGAAACAGCAATCACCCTTTTGAGAAGTTCAAGATGTGATGAAAGATGTTGTAATTGTGATACTCCCAAGAACCTTGATATTAAAATAAGCTCACTGTCTGTAGGCTTTAATGTTTCTGTAAGTATAACTTTCATTTAATTTTACAATTGCCTGTGAAGAAATGTCGAATCCTTGTAAGCCCTTCTGGTATCCATTGTTCTCACCCACTGCAGACGACTCTTACAAAAAGGTCAACACATTAAAGTCAGATCAGCAGTACCAGGGTTTCGAGGGAACCATATTACCAATACCAGACCCACTGATGACGTAAAAGGAGTAAATTCCATAAGCAAACCTTTTGTAGGGTGTCTCCACTTAGAGGAATCCGCCATAAAGAACCATTATTTCTATTCATTAAAAGTTTATTGTCAATGTCGGATTTATTAATATAACGATGTTTAAATATTAATGTGTCTAAAGTTGGCTTTAATAATATATTGATTGTTGAATTTATTTATTGCATACATGACTAGTTTTAATAAGACATTGATGGTTGGATTTATTAATGAATGGTTGGCTTTAACAATATATAGATGGTTGTATTTAAAAGTTTATGCATGATTAATTAGTATATTCATGGTTGAATAGAATGTCCTAGTTTCGTTGTTGTGAATTTTCTCTAGGTCTAGAATATGTACCAAAGAAATAGATATAAAAAAAGAAAAAGTATTTGGGAAAATAAGATAACATAAGCAGGGAAAGCAAATAGTGAGATTTACTAAATAAAATTTTACAAATGATGTTTTCGAAAATATTATTTTCAACTAGTTTGTTTGTTTGTTTTGAAATTAAGCACAAAGCTACACAATGGGTTATCTGTGTTACTACCCACCACGGGTATACGAAACCCGGAAACCGACATATCGTCGTGTAGACGACGGGGGGTGGGGGGGGGGCGGTAGAGTAACGTCGACCGAACGGAC